GGGAGAAAGATCAGGCTTTCTACTTCCGTAAAGATTTACACCCTTGGAAACCCTGTACAGGGTCGCTATGGGTCGGAACCGACTCGACGGCACTTAACAACAACAACAACTCTAATATCAGAACTAGATGGTGCCCAACTACAACTATCAACTGTCCTAAAAGGGATCACATCAAGAGGATCCTGGATAGAATGGGAGAAGACGTGGAATAAAACACAAAATAGTTAATAAAAAGTTTAAAAGACCAGTTTATTGGTCAGAAAGAGACTGGAGGAACCTGAGAAAATGGTCCTTGACTACTCTTCAGGTCTGGAAAAGAACTCACCCTTGTGGCCCAATTTTCAGCCAACCAGTAGAAAGGTGTATAGTGGGGACAACACTAGTAAGGTATGCTTACCGTGGAATCATTCAAAATCAAAAGGGCAACATTTTTGTTAAGGACAGAGATGAGAAAGAATAGGAAGGTGGGTGTAAACAGGGACCACAGGGAAGAAGTAGCATAACTGTTGTTGCATGGTGGGGATTTTAATTGTTGAAATAAAACGAAGTATAATCTTGTTAAACAAAAAGCTGACAATCTTGTCTGTAAACTTTCATTCAATTCACAATAAAAGCTAAAAAACAAAACAAAACAAAAACCCCACCCACAACAAATAGAGAACTCAGCATTTATAGCCTTTCTTCTGAGGTGCCTTTGATGGACTAGACTCTCCAGCCTTTCAGTAAGTAGCTGACCACATTAACTGTACAGCCAGGGACTTCAATAATATTCAAAGAGATAGGCTACTTGGGAGAATGATGAAGTTTTCTGCTCCTGCCAAGATACACAGTCTTAGAAACCTGTAGGGTTGCTGTGAACCAACAGCACATAACAACAACAGTATACCATAGGGTCTAGTGCACTAAAGTCAAAACTTCTGAGTTTCTTTTTTTTATTTTTTATTAAAGATTTTTATTGTGGATTGAGTGAAAGTTTACAGGGCATATCATCAGTTTTACATTCAACAAATCATATACCTTGTTTCATTACA